AAGGTTTGTGCATAGGTTAGTGAGTGCGTGCGTGCATGGTCACTTCAGTCGTGTCCGACTCTTTGCAACCCTATGGACTGTAGCCAACCAGGCTCCTCTTCCATGGGGATTCTTCAGGCAAGAATACTGGCATGAGTTGCTATGTCCTCCACCAGGGGATCTTCCTGATCCAGGGATTGAATCCTCCTGACTTATGCCTCCTGTACTGGCAGGAGTTTTCTTTACCACTAGCACCACCTGGGAAGCCCAGGTGAGTGAGGAGATGCAGGCAATGGGAAGCCTTTTATATGAAAGCTCATGTCCTCTGTGGGAACCAGGAGCTCCAAGTCAGTCCCTCAGTGGCTCTAAGACTATGTAGATTAGGCTTCTTCAGTATACAAGTTCCCAAAGGTTCTTCACTGTCACTCATATCATAGTTTATACATATTTTAGGTCTTCTGGATCTCTCTTCAATATTTCTATCCTTTATCTTCAGAATTCATCTTGTCTTCAGGTCTTCTATCTTTTTTATTCCTTCCCTTCACTCTTCTGTAGGCAATCTTATTTAGTATCAGAGCTTTAAATATCAACTGAACATCAGTAACTTCCAGTTTTATATTCCTGCATTTAGACTTTCTCTGAACTCCAAGATCAAACATCTAATGGACATTTGGCATTTCCACTTGGATGTATAATAATCATTTCAAGGATTGACATAAAAGGTAAAACAGAACCCGTAATTGGTCCATCCAAACCCGCTTCTGTCCTAGTCCATTGTGTTAAAAAATGGCAACTTCATGAGAATTCCTTTGGTGGTTCAGTGGTTAAGCCTTGGGCTTTCACTGCTGTGGGCCTGGGTTAGATCCCTGGTTAGAGAACTAAGATTCTCACAAGTCACATGGTGCAGCCAAAAAAGGGCAACTTTATACTTCTAGTTGCTCAAGCTAAAAACCTTAGTATCTTCTTGGCTTCTTTTTTCTTTAATACCTAAAGTCAGCAAATCCTGTCAACTCTTCCTATAGAGACTATCTAGAATTTGATCAGTTCTCATCACCTCCCCTGCAACCATACTACCCTAACACAAGCCCTTCATCCTTTGCCAGGATTACTGCAGTAACCTTCTCACAGGTCTCTCTGCTTTGGCACCCCCCAACACACACCCCCACCCCTGTCATCTTAGTCCATTTTTTCCATGAATGATCCTTTTGTAAAAAGAAATATATATATATATATTTACTTATTTATTTATCTGGCTTCTCTGAGTCTTAGTTGTGGCATGTGGGATATAGTTCCCTGACTAGGAATCCAACTAAGCCTCCTAGTTCAATTGGAGCCTGGAGCACTGGGAGCCTGGAGTCTTGGCCACTGGACCACCAGGGAAGTTCTGAGTGATCCTTTCAAATGAAAGTTAGATTATGTCATTCCTTGGTTAAAATGTTTCAGTGGCTTCCTGTCTTACTCAAGAATAAAAACCAAAGTTCTTACAATGGCCCATAAGGCCCGTGTGATTCAACTTCCGTCTTACTCAAGAATAAACACCAAAGTTCTTACAATGGCCCATAAGCCCCGTGTGATTCAACTTCCATCTTCCTCTCTGGCCCTCTTTTTCTCACTCACCCATTCTAGCCGCTCTAGTCTCCTTCCTCTTTGTAGTCAGAGAAACCTGCTCTTGTCTTGAGACCTTTGCATTTGTTTTTCCCTCTGCTAGGACTGCACTTACCCTAGATATCTGTGTACCACATGTCATCTTCCCAATGAAAAGCGTCCTCGGGCTGCCCTTCATTCCCCCAACACTCCCTGTCTCCTTAACCATTTTATTTCCCTCCACAGAACTTTGATCTCTTTATACATTAATAGGAATTGATGTCAGTGTATCAATATTTGTTACTTTTTCCATTAGAACGTGAGATCTGTGGGAGAGGGCCTGGATTTGTTATCTTCCTTACATGTAGAACCATGCCAACTGAGGTAGGAACTCAGTAAATAGGAAAGAATTCCTGACTCCTTTTTCTTTCTCTGTGTGCATATCCAAACAGATGCCAGAGCCTGTTGATTTTACTTCTCCAACATCTTGAATTCATCCCCTTCCTGTTTCTGCTGTCACTGTCTTGGGTCAGACCCTTTGTTTGGGAAAGGACAATCACCTTTCAGTTGATCTCCCTGACTCCAGTTTTACTCCTCTCTGCAAAAGTAATCTGGCCATACTGGCCCTATCACTTCCTTAAGTTCTTCAGTGGCCTTCCATTAATTTCTGGTGAAAACCAAACTTTTATATATTTGATCAGTATTCATTGGTCACCTTTATCCTTCAATCACTGTGGCAGGTGCCATTGACCGTGATGATGAGACCTGGTCCTCATAGTTAGTGTTGTAAGCATTAACTACATGCATTATGTAGTGCACGCACATACTACACACACAACACTACATACATACTACATACTACCACACACAACATAACAACACTACATACAACTACACACAACACAACAACTACACACAACAACTACACACAACAACTACATACACAACAAAGAACTGGCTGTGTCCAGTTCTTTGTGACACTGGATGGTAGCCCACCAGGGTCCTCTGTCCATGGAAGTTCTCCAGACAAGAATACTGGAATAGGTTGCCATTTCCCACTCTAGGGGGTCTTCCCGACCCAGGGATTGAACCCACATCTTTCGCAACTCCTGCATTGTAGGCAGATTCTTGACCACTGAGCCACTGGGGATGCCATCTTCCTCTAGATTCTAGAATTAATTAAATTTAAATTCAGATTGACTAAAATTAAGAACTCAGTTCCTAGGTCAGACTAGCCACATTGCAAATACTTAGTTGCCACATGTGGCTATTGGCTGCCTTATTGACAGAACAAGATGTGTAGATTTCCCACATCACAAAGGTTCTATAAGACAGCACTGGTCTGAACTCTGCCCCAAACTATATAAGTTACTCCCAATATTCTCTGCTCTCCAAACACACCATCTACATTCGGTCCACTGTTTTTTGCCACTGCTCTTCACTCTGCTCAGAGTGCTCTTCTGTCCCTTTGCAAGTGTGTGCGCTCAATCATGACCAACCCGTCGTGACCGCATGGACTGGAGCCTGCAGGGCTCCTCTGTCCATGGGATTTCCAGGAAAGACTACTGGAGTGGGTTGCCATTTCCTTCTCCAGAGGATCTTCCCAACCCAGGGATCAAACCCATGTCTCCTGCTTGGCAGGTGGATTCGTTACCACTGAGCCACCTTCTGTCCTCTTTTTGTCTATTAAATTCTCTGATTTTTAGGCCCCAGATCACATTCTGAAATCTTCTTGACATCATCCCCCAGTGATTTAATCTTCCTTCTGACTCCCCTCACCATAGTAAGCTCCTTGTCTCTCTAATTAGAACCAGCCTCTTAAAAAAAAACCCTGAGTTCTGGGACTTCCCTGCAGTTCAGTCGTTAAGAATTTGAGCTTCCACCCAACTGCCATATACTCTTTACTGCACCTGTCTTACAGAGCACTTAAGAGTTACTAAGTACATGTATGTATAATGCTAGATGAGGTTATAATAATAACTCTTCACTTGAGATTATAAATTTTATGTATGCAATGACTATATCCCCCAATGCTGAGCACATAGTATGTGATCAATAACTATTTGTGAATAAATGAATAATTTTAACTTAAAAAAAAAAAAGAATCTGAAAGTAAAGGTAATTAAAAAAAAAAAGAATCTGAGTTTCCCCTGCAGGAGTTGCAGGCTTGATCCTTGGTCAGGGAACTAAGATTCTGCATGCTGCTCAGTGAGGCCAAAAAAAACCACAAACAGACCAAAAAACCCCCCCTGCATTCTCCTAATTTTGAAGTAGGCTGTTCTCCACCAGCCTCAGCAGCTGCCAGCCACAGAAGGAATCTTATTCTTCAGGAAAGCAGTGGAGAGGGCTTAGGTAGAAAATAAGGATTGCCTGGCCAAGAGGCTTCTAGGAACTGAGTTCTCACTCAGGTCAGTACTCTGGATGTGCCCGTATGCTTGTAGGATGCCTGTATTACTGTGGTTTCCTTGCTCCTATCTGGTTAGTCCAGCTCTGGCTAGAGGTTTTGACAGAGCCCCTCATAGGGATGGCGGGGCCCCTTTTTGGACTTGGAAGGAGAACACAGAGCCAGAGACATACCCAAGAGGTTTTGCCTGTTGATTCCAGAGAAGCTGGAAGACTGTTTAAGGATGTCTTTTTCATAAGGTTTGGCCTGCACAGGTATGCTCTGCTCCTAGCCTGTAGGATTCAGCCTGTAGGTACTATCCTCACATGAAGGCTGAGTGAGTCTGTGTTGCAATCTTCCTTGCCTCAGTCACAAAGGAAGGTCTGCTTGGAACGACTGGGAGCTGTCTAGGCCCCATCTGGGGTATAGATTAGCATTAACAATAGGTGATGCTATCCCAGTCTCTGGGACAGAGACTGTCCCCGCCAGAACCCCACCTGCTGAGATGCTTGGATTCTTTGTGAATGATGGAGCACATTCACCTTGATTGCATCTTTCAGTTTCCCTAAGGTCTAGGAAAGGGCTGGGTTTTGTTANTGCTAATCTTCTCTGTATCATTCCAATTTTAATATATGTGCTGCCGAAGCGAGCACTCTTGGTATTAGTGTTGTGCAGTGGGTCAAGGAGGTGGAAAAGAAGCCGAGCAGGGACCCTGGAAGTACAGTTGTTTTAAACTTGTCTGTTTAGGTGGTTTATGGCTAAATTAAAAAAAAAAAAAAGTCACAGTTGTGTCCGACTCTTTGAGACCCCATGGACTATATAGCCCGCCATGCTTCTTTGTCCATGGAATTTTCCAGACAAGGATACTGGAGTGGGTTGCCATTTCCTTCTCCAGGGAATCTTCCCAACCCAGGGATCAAACCTGGGTCTCCTGCATTGCAGGCAGATGCTTTACTACTACTTTAGCTACTAGAGAAGCCTAAATAAATGCTGTCTCTAATTAAGCTCAGTTTATGAGATGTGCCCCTTCTCCCCCCTACTCTGTTATTTTCAGGACTCTTCACTTGTTCAACAGAGAATCTAAAGAAATTCAAGTAGGACAGGTGGTTCTAAAAGCCATGATCCAGGTAAGTGAAATTTCCTCTATTCTTGAAATAGTATAAACATTTGTGTTCCTTATCCTGAAATTTTCCTGTCTCACTTGAGCCCCATTCGATAACCTGCTCTCAGTTCCTCCATTGCAGGGAATGAATGATGATGCCCCCCCGCCCCTACTTCTGGTGGCCCTCTCTTCTCCAGCAGTGTTCTTACCAGAGTACCAATGGAGCAGAAGTATATTCTCTTGAGAGAAATACGAGAGCTGCCCTTATCAGAACCATGGCTAAATAGAGCCAAAGAGAAGATAACCTTGACCTTTTCCATTAACCCAAGTAGTTTCTGTTTTTCTCTTTGATTTTTAAATGTCAACCCCCCCCCATAAAAATCATAAAACATTTCACACTATCAAAGAATATATACAAAAACATATCTATAACATGCATGTGATATAAAGAATAATAAAATGAATGTTGATATATTCATCACTCAGCTTAATGTACCATCTGAGCAACCCCTCCCACATCCCTTCACATACTGTTACTGCCTTGCCAGTGTTTTTTAACTTATTTATTTATCTGTGGCTGCGCTAGATCTTCGTTTTTACGTGAGGGCTTTTCTCTAGTTGCGGCAAGTGGAGCGACTCTGTAGTGGTGCACCGGCTTCTCACTGCAGTGTCTTCTCTTCCTGCAGAGCACAGGCTCTAGGGCTCGGGCTTCAGTAGTTGTGGCACAGGGGCTTGGTTGCCCTGCAGCATGTGGGATCTTCCTGGACCAGGGACAGAAGTGTCCCCTGCATTGCAAGGTGGTTCTTAACCACTGGACCACCAGGGAAGGCCTGCCTGTTTAATTTTGTGTTTGTTGGTACTTTGATTCTTTTTTTTTTACTTTGATTCTTATAATAATTTTGCCATACATGGATTCATGCATGCGTGTGTGCTAAGTCACTTCAGTCGTGTCTGACTCTTTGCGACCATATGGACTATAGCCTGCCAGACTTCTCTGTCCGTGGTATTCTTCAAGCAGGAGTACTGGAGTGGGTTGCCATGTCCTCCTCCAGGGAATCTTCCCGACTCAGGGGTCGAATCCACATCTCTTGTGTCTCTTATGTCTCCTGCATTGGCAGACGGGTTCTTAACCCCTAGTGCCACCTGGGAAACCCACATGGATGCCTACTAAACAATTTACTTTTGAGTTTGCCATTTTTAAATTTGATGTACACTTATCATACTCTTTTTTTTTTAAGCAGATTTTTTTACTCAGCACAGTGTATTTTCAAGTCTTTCATGTTAAATTGTGTAGCGCCAGGTCAGCAGTTCTTAAAGTGGTCCAGGAAGACTCTGAGACCCTTTCAGGAGGTCTAGGGGCCAAAATAACTTCAAATAATACTAACACATTATTTCCTTGTTTCACTCACAACTCTAATGAGTGTACAGTAGAATTTCCCGGAAGCTATATAAAATATGTTATCCTAACAGACTGGGGAATTCCCTGGTGGCCCAGTGGTTAGGATTCCAGGCTTTCACTACCATGGCCCAGGTTCAGTCCCTGGGCCAGAAACTATGATCCTGCAAGCCATGTGGCATGGCCAAAAAATAAAATAAAATTAAGTTGACCAGCAGGTTGAAGACAGAGGTATGAAAATCTCTTCCATTCAGCCAGTCATTAAAGAGATTTGCAAAAATATAAAACAGTACTACTAAATTCTTTTTTATTTTGACAGTTATTTTTCATCAAATGTGTTATTTATGTTAACATGTAACAGGCTTATTATTAGTTATTTAAATAAATTAATAATAATTTAAACATTTTCTCTCTTTTAATTTCTAATGTGGTATATATTGATAGATTTAACCAGCATTTACAAAAACACTAACAGCTTTATTTATTGTATATATATATATAATTCACATAAAATGAAATTCACCCATATAAGTGTATTGTTCAGTGGTTTTCAGTATATTTGCAGAGTTGTGCAGCTGTCAGCACAAGCCATTTTAGAACATTTACATCACTACCAAAAAAAAAATAATCCTGTTTGAATTAGCCATCACTCCCACACTCCCCTCCTCTTCCCCTGACAACCACTAATTTACTTTCTGTCTCTATGAAATTGCCTATTCTGGACTTTTTGTATAAATGGAGTCATTCAATATTTGGTCTTTTATGTGTGATTTTTTTTCTTTTAGTATGTTTTCAAACTTCTATGATATAGCATGTATCAGTACTTTGTTCATTTTTATAGCAAGCAATATTCCATGGATATTGTAGACTACATTTTGTTCATCAACTCATCAGTCTTTGGGCATTTGAACTGCTTCTACATTTTTGGCTATCATGAATAATGCTGCTGTAAACGTCAGTATATACCAGTGTTTTTAGGTGGACGTGTTTCTCTGTACCTAGGAGTGGAACTTCTGGGTAGCTTGATAACTCTCTAACATTCTGAGGAACTGTCACAACTGTTTTCCAAAGCGGCTACCCATTTTACATTCCTACCAACAATGTAAGAGGATTCCAGTTTCTCCACATCTTCACCGAAATGTGTTTTTGGAAATATTATTTTTTTGTTTTCTTCTGTTTTTCATAATAGCCATCCTAATGGATGTGAAGTGCCATTTTATTGTGGTTCTGATTTGCATTTGCCTAATGATTAGTGATGTTGAGCATCTTTTTCATATTTCATTGGCCATTTGTATATCTTCTTGGGAGAAATCTCTTCAGAGTCTTCGGCTAGTTTAAAATTAGGTTGTCTTTTTTATTATTGAGTTGTAAGAGTTCTTTATATATTCTGGATTCAAGTCCCTTATCTCATATAGAAATTGCCAGTATTTTCTCTCAGTTTTGTGGGTTGGATTTTCACTTTCTTTATGAAATTATTTGCAGAACAAAAGGTTTTAATTTTGATGAAATCTATTTTATCTTCTTGTTCTTTTGTTCTTTTTGTTTATTTTTGGTGGTTGGTACCATGCCTAAGAAACCATTGCCCGACCAAGGTTGTGAAGATGTACTCCTGTGTTTTCTTCTAAAAGTTTTATGATTTTAGCTTTTACATTTATATCTACAATCTATTTTGAGTTAATTTGCATTTAGATACTCACTTATTCCAGCACTGTTTGTTAACAGAGACTAATCTTTCCCCATTGAATGATCTCAGTTGGTTTGCTGTGTGGTAGTCCTTAGGGGGCTGGTGGAAGATGCCTTTCTTCAAAGAGGCTTTATACCTAGGAGTGTCTCACCGACTCAGTGGACGTGAGTTTGAGCAAACTCCGGGAGATGGTAAAGGACAGGGAAGCCTGGAGTGCTGCAGTCCATGGGTCACAAAGCGTCAGATACAACTGAGAGACTGAACAACAACAAGAAGATGCCTTTCTTCAGAAAGGCTTTGCACCTAGGAGTGTGGAGTGGAACTTCTGGGTAGCTTGATAACTCTCTAACATTCTGAGGAACTGTCACAACTGTTTTCCAAAGCGGCTACCCATTTTACATTCCTACCAACAATGTAAGAGGATTCCAGTTTCTCCACATCTTCACCGAAATGTGTTTTTGGAAATATTATTTTTTTGTTTTCTTCTGTTTTTCATAATAGCCATCCTAATGGATGTGAAGTGCCATTTTATTGTGGTTCTGATTTGCATTTGCCTAATGATTAGTGATGTTGAGCATCTTTTTCATATTTCATTGGCCATTTGTATATCTTCTTGGGAGAAATCTCTTCAGAGTCTTCGGCTAGTTTAAAATTAGGTTGTCTTTTTTATTATTGAGTTGTAAGAGTTCTTTATATATTCTGGATTCAAGTCCCTTATCTCATATAGAAATTGCCAGTATTTTCTCTCAGTTTTGTGGGTTGGATTTTCACTTTCTTTATGAAATTATTTGCAGAACAAAAGGTTTTAATTTTGATGAAATCTATTTTATCTTCTTGTTCTTTTGTTCTTTTTGTTTATTTTTGGTGGTTGGTACCATGCCTAAGAAACCATTGCCCGACCAAGGTTGTGAAGATGCACTCCTGTGTTTTCTTCTAAAAGTTTTATGATTTTAGCTTTTACATTTATATCTACAATCTATTTTGAGTTAATTTGCATTTAGATACTCACTTATTCCAGCACTGTTTGTTAACAGAGACTAATCTTTCCCCATTGAATGATCTCAGTTGGTTTGCTGTGTGGTAGTCCTTAGGGGGCTGGTGGAAGATGCCTTTCTTCAAAGAGGCTTTATACCTAGGAGTGTCTCACCGACTCAGTGGACGTGAGTTTGAGCAAACTCCGGGAGATGGTAAAGGACAGGGAAGCCTGGAGTGCTGCAGTCCATGGGTCACAAAGCGTCAGATACAACTGAGAGACTGAACAACAACAAGAAGATGCCTTTCTTCAGAAAGGCTTTGCACCTAGGAGTGCCTCGCATTGGGCAGACTTTAATTTTTCTCCTATTTGCCCCAACTGCATGAATTTTAACCTCATTAAAAATGAGACAGCCAGTCATTATGTGCCTCCTAGTGAGATGCTACAGGAAGAACACAGTACAACCTCTGACATTTATGACCCTTAAAAAATATGGAAGTAGAGCAGCATATTAAACACTATCATGAAGATGCAGTGAGCCAAATTCAGAATCTGGGAAATGCTACTGATTCAAATGTTTGTTTAATGAATAAATAGCAATGAAACTTTTTAAAGGGGCTGTTAGAGATTTTAGAGATACAGGAAGTCTCTAAACTAGTTTCAAGGGGTGGATTTTGTGTGAATCCTGATTTCAACAAACCAACTGTCAAAAATCATTTCTGGAGGCAAAAAACAAATCTTCTGAGGAAATTGAGGCAATTTGAAACTTGAAACTCGATCTAGTTATTAGGAAACTGTTGCTAATTTTATTCCATGTGATGGTGATATTCTGGTTATTCCCTGGTGGGCCAGTGGTTAAGAATCTGCCTTGCAATGTGAGGGACACCAGCTTAATCTCTGGTCTGGGACGACCCCACATGCCATGAAGCAGCTAAGCCCCTGTGCCACAGTTACTAAACCAGCGCTCTAGAGCCTGCGAGCTGCAACTACTGAAGCCACTGTGCCCTAGAACCCATGCTCTGCTACAAGGAAGCCACCGCACTGAGAAGCCCACGCACCGTGATGAAGAGTATCTCCCACCCACCGTAACTAGAGGAGGCCCATGCCCAGCAACGAAGACCCAGCACAGCCAAAAAAATATAAATAAATCTTAAAAAAAATTTAAGTCTAATCTGTTAGATACTAAAGTATTGGTGAGTGAAATACTATAATTTTGTATGTGGGATTCACCTCAGAAAACAGCAAGGGTAAAAAATGGAAATGTGTAAGGTCCTCTTAAATGACTGAAGTAGAGTAATGGGGGCCATTATACTATACTCTATACTTCTGTGGATTTTGAACAATTTGGTAATTTAAAAAATAAAAGTCATTTCATTTACTGATAGTGCCTGGGTTTATTGTTTCAGGGATTGGTGACATTTAGGGATGTGGCTGTAGAGTTCTCTCAGGAAGAATGGAAGTGCCTGGAACCTGCCCAGAGGGACCTGTACAGGGAGGTGACTTTGGAAAACTTTGGCAACTTGGTCTCACTAGGTAAGAACGTTGTATAATACAGGAGCAGCCAGGAAAGTTGGCTGCCAGGGACTACAGCAGTGGGAGGCTGTTATCCACTCTGGCTGAAGGGGTCAAGGGAGGAAAGACTGCCACTGGAAAATGGTGAGAGCGCAAGCCGTGGAGAAGGGCTGGCCAGCAGCATGTAGCTGTATCCAGAACTCCTGGGTCAAAGGAGGGCGGGAGAGGAAAAAGAAATATCCTGGACTGTCTCTTCCAGCCCACTGATGCTTTCCACCTACCAAACCCAGTGAGAAATGATAAGATAAGGGTAATACAGTCCTTGTGTCCCAGGTGGATCAGTGGTGAAGAATGCAGGAGACATGGGTTTGATTCCCTGGGTTAGGAACATCCCCTGGAGGAGGAAATGGCAACCCACTCCAGTATTCTTTCATGGAAAATTCCATGGACAGAGGGGCCTGAAGGGCCACAGTCCATGCAATCGCAGAGTCAGACATGACTGAGCTACTGAGCCCTCACCAAGCACACACATGCAATACAGGTAAACTAGGGCACAGCTGGGCATAGAGCAGGGCCAGGAAGAGTGCGGCCTGGGGAGAAGGAGAGCGCAAATGGAGAACGCAGTTTCTGGTTTCTTCATGGTGAATTTCTAGGAAGACTTACAAGTGGCTGACTAAGTTCCTGCTCTGTCTCCAAGGGAATTGTTTGAGTAATGGGGGCCATTATACTATACTCTATACTTCTGTGGATTTTGAACAATTTGGTAATTTAAAAAATAAAAGTCATTTCATTTACTGATAGTGCCTGGGTTTATTGTTTCAGGGATTGGTGACATTTAGGGATGTGGCTGTAGAGTTCTCTCAGGAAGAATGGAAGTGCCTGGAACCTGCCCAGAGGGACCTGTACAGGGAGGTGACTTTGGAAAACTTTGGCAACTTGGTCTCACTAGGTAAGAACGTTGTGTAATACAGGAGCAGCCAGGAAAGTTGGCTGCCAGGGACTACAGCAGTGGGAGGCTGTTATCCACTCTGGCTGAAGGGGTCAAGGGAGGAAAGACTGCCACTGGAAAATGGTGAGAGCGCAAGCCGTGGAGAAGGGCTGGCCAGCAGCATGTAGCTGTATCCAGAACTCCTGGGTCAAAGGAGGGCGGGAGAGGAAAAAGAAATATCCTGGACTGTCTCTTCCAGCCCACTGATGCTTTCCACCTACCAAACCCAGTGAGAAATGATAAGATAAGGGTAATACAGTCCTTGTGTCCCAGGTGGATCAGTGGTGAAGAATGCAGGAGACATGGGTTTGATTCCCTGGGTTAGGAACATCCCCTGGAGGAGGAAATGGCAACCCACTCCAGTATTCTTTCATGGAAAATTCCATGGACAGAGGGGCCTGAAGGGCCACAGTCCATGCAATCGCAGAGTCAGACATGACTGAGCTACTGAGCCCTCACCAAGCACACACATGCAATACAGGTAAACTAGGGCACAGCTGGGCATAGAGCAGGGCCAGGAAGAGTGCGGCCTGGGGAGAAGGAGAGCGCAAATGGAGAACGCAGTTTCTGGTTTCTTCATGGTGAATTTCTAGGAAGACTTACAAGTGGCTGACTAAGTTCCTGCTCTGTCTCCAAGGGAATTGTTTAGTGCTTCATCGAAGTGCAAATGGATAGTGCCTTGGCACCTCCACCTCCCTATCCTGCGGACAGCCTTCACACCTCCCTTTGTGTAACTGTCTCTCTTCCTCAGCGACCGGGGGACTGGGTTTGAGTCTGGGAACAGCGTAATCATGCCCATTTCTTTTCCTATAAACAGGACTTTCCATTTCTAAGCCCGATGTTGTCTCCTTACTGGAGCAAGGGAAAGAACCCTGGATGGTTGTGAATGATATGACAGGACCATGGTGCCCAGGTGAGTGAGGGCTGATCCAATGGTGGGAAGTCACTGGCAATGACAGCTCTGCAGGAGTGTTAACTCATCACAATAACGTGAGTTATTGTCAGGAAACTCCCTCAAAACCCTGCTAAGGAAGAAAAGCCTGAGACATGAGGCCATGAAGAACAGAGCATCCGTTTCCAAGGGAACCTCACCCTTATCCCCATTAACTCCTTCCTGTTCTTTCTTCTCTCATGTTTCATCTCGTTTCAAAAAGGAATGTGCCCCTCTTTCTTCTCCAGGGGCACCTGTTTCGCCTGTTATTAGCATCATTTTTTCTGCAAGTGTCTTCATTCCTTAAAAAAATACTTATTTTCTTAAAACAGCTTCTTGCTTTACCTAATTCAGCAATCCATTTATTCTCTTACCTTTTGAGAGGTTAGGATGTAGAGTGACTAAGGGAATACTCTAGAATCAGATTTTGTGAGTTCACATCCTGGCTCAGTCACTTATTAGATATGTGAGTTTAGGTCAGTTACTTCAATTCTCTGTGCTTCAGTTTTCTCCTCTGCAAATATGATTAAAAATAGTGCCTTCTTCATACAGTTACTGTGGCTTCTTTATGAGTTAGTATGTGAAAATGCCCAGAACAAAGCCAGGCGATAACAATCACTAAACATATGTTAGCAAATATTTGTAACTGGTACTTGCTTGATAGAACTGGAGCCTTTGAATACTTGGTTATCAGTACAACCTCCTGACTTCTTTGTATTGTTGTCATTTATTTTCCTCTGGTATCATTTTTTTCTCTATCTGAAGAACACCCTTAAGATTTCCTTTTGTGTATGTCTGCTGTTGACAAATTCTCTCAGTTTCTGACCACATGAAAATGTCTTTATTCTACCTTCTTTCTTCTAGGATATTTTCAATGAGTATGGAATTCTGTGTTGGCAAGAGTTTTTTCTCAGCCCAAAGAACTCATTCCACTGCCTTTTTTCTTCCAGTGTGGTCAACAAGTCAAGTTGTACCAGTTTGGGGAAATACTCCACGTGTATTTAAAACTAGTGTTCTTTGGATGGTGCATTCACCTCTTTAAGCCTTTTTATTATATGGTTAGAGTCTGTATGTCCTTTTAACTTTCTCTGTACTTGTACTGTCAAATTCAGAGAGCTGTTAATTGTATTATATATTTTGCTACTACATACATTTTTATTAATGTAAAAGTGAAATATAGATCCTTGTTGCAAATTGTATTTGCAGTACAGTCCATCCTTCATTTTGCCACTTAGTGCTTTTAATCTTGAATTCTAATTTTTCTGATATTAATATAAAGTGCCCTGTTTTTGTTAGTTTATAGAACTATGGTGTATCTTTGCTTATCCTTTTTAAAAATTGCCATTTTTAGTGTGTCACTGTAATCAGAATTAGTTTCCTTTTTTAATCAATTTTAATAGAATTTAATCCATTCTCATTTGTGATCATTCATATGTCTGCTCTTATTTCTGCTATCTTATTTTATATTTTCTGTTCCTCATTCTTTTTGTTTCCCTCACATTTTATTGCCTTTCAAGCAATTTAGAAGTACAATAATCTTTAACTTGACTTTTAAGAAATGTGCTTAAACCTGCATTTCTCTTCCCACCTAAAGACTGAAATAGGATTTTTTTCCATTTAGTAAAAATTTTTTTAAATATTTATTTGTTTATTTAATTATTTGGCTGATCTTTAATTGGTAGTACAGAAGCTCTTAACTGCAGCATGTGAGATCTAACCCAGGGATTGAACCAGGCCTCCTGTGATGGGAGCTCAGAGTCCTAGCCACTGGACCATCAGGGAAGTCCTTCTTTCTGGTAAAGTTTTTCTCCAAAATATTTTTATTTTGAAATCATTTTAGTTTAGACTTGTAGAAAATTTACAAAATTATTACAAGGAATTCCAAAATACCCTCCACTCAGCTTCCCAGTGTTAAAATTTTATGTAATCATAGTATAGTTATCAAAATCAGGACATTAACGTTGATATAGTACTATTAACTGACCTACAGATCTTATTAGAATTTCATCAGTTTTTCCTCTATTGTCCTGCTATACCAGGGTCCAGTCTGGGATCCCACATTGCATTTAATTGTTGGGTCTACTTAGCATCCTCCACTTGTGACAATTCCTGTCTTTCATGAGCTTGATCCTTTTGATGAGTACTCTTTTGGAGAATGTCTCTCACTTGGCGTTTGTCTGATATTTTCTACAATTAGGTTGAGGTTATGCATCTTTAGCAGGAATACACAGAAGTGATATTGTGTCCTTCTCTGTGCATCATATTGGGGGTTGCAACCCCCAATATGATGTTAATATTACTGGTAGTGTTAACTTTGATCAACTTGGTTAAGGTTTCTTCCATATTTCTTTCCTGTAAGGTTACTGCTTTTCCAACTGTAATTGGTAATTATCTTGGAGGGAGATACTTTGCAGCCTCATAGATATTGCTGTTTCTCCTCACTTTGCCCACTATAATTTTAGTATTCTGCTTGTCTATAACAGTTAATACAGTAGTGTTGCTGTGTGTTGATTTTGTGTCCTTTATTGTACCCTGCATTTTTTAATTGGAATTCTTCTGTATGGAAGGGCTTTCCCTACCCCCTTTCCCATTCATCTGCTTATTCAGAGATTTACTTCTATCAGTATAGGCTATTTATTTATTTATCCTATGAGTTGTAGTCCAGAAATATGATTGTTTGTTTTGTTGTTCAAATTGCTCATTGGGAAAGCTTTGGCCATTTGGGAACATCTTCAGGTTGACTCCTAGGTTCTTTTGGCATTCCCTCTTCCTGTTTTTGACTATTTCCTTATTTTTTGGTGCTTACAACATATTCTGGGTTTATCCTGTATCTTTCTTGCCTCACTCCTGAAATCAGCCACTCCTCAAAGGAGACCTGGTTTCTTTTATTGGTGGATGGTATGGAATAGTATCTTTGAAATTCTTTTTCTGAGAAAAGTAAGACCTTAAGACCTTTATCACCTTTTACTCTACTATGCCCTAGACCAGGAGTTGGCATACTACAATCTATGGGTCATGTCCAGCTTGTGGCCAGTTTTTGTACCATCCACAAGCTAACAATGGCTTATACATTTCATAAGAGTTTAAAATTATATATATGTGACAGAGACTTTATGTAGTCCACAAAATCTAAAAAAAATTTACTATGTAGGCCTTAGCAGAAAAAGTTTTGTCGACCTCTGCTTGGATTCACCCCATTCTAATCTTGTTTTAGTGATCTGAAATTCTTGCTTCATACTGTCATTTCTATAATTTATAAACATATAGATTGCATTATTCTTAATAGTAATGATATAAGTCAGTCATCTGTGCACTGTGAACTATGGGCCAAATCTGTCCTGATACCTGTCTTTATATAGCCTATGAGCCTGTTGAATTCTGTAAATGCCTTCTAAGAGAGGCATATACATAATTAAAATCATATGCTTATGGATTTATATCAGTATTTGGCAGTACTATCTATATGCAACATGTTCAAAAGTGACATACATAAAAGCTGATTACAGATCAGCACTAACAGATAAATATTTACCATCAATTCTGATGCTGGAGAACACTAACCTTGAACTCCAGTTAAGTGAAATGTTACCTCCCACAGAAAAGAATTCTATGCTTATCATTCTTTGACCTGTATTACAAAAAAAAAATTATTATGCTTTGAATTTCATCAATAAAAAATGTGTAGCAATTTGTTTTCTTACTATGTAAGTGCCTACATAACATCCTCATTTTTGTCTCTTGAACCACAAAGCCTAAAATAATTATCATCTGGCCTTATAAAGCAAAGTTTTCCAACCCCTGATTCAGAGATGCAGTTGAAAGTCCATGTTTGAGGACAAAAGTATATATAATCAAAACTATATTTGCCATGCACTTAAATTAGACTAAAATTACCAAGACATTTGTACTTCAAAGCTCAGAAACCGAGAACCAGATTTCTGGTTTTCTTTATACTTGGCTCTATCTTCCATTTCCCTGGAAGACTAGACTCCAGAGTTAAGACTGAATAGACACGATACATTGAGTTACTCAGTGTTTTCTTTCTGTGTGTATTAGTTTCCTACCCTTGTATAACACATTACCACAAACTTGGTGGTTTAAAACAACACATGTATTTTCTCACAGTCCTAGAGATTAGAAATCCAAAATATATCACTGGGGTAAATTCAGGGTGTCCAAAGGGCTTATTCCTTTCTGTAGGCTCTAGGTAAAGATCGGTTTTCTTACCCTTTTCCAGCTTCTAGAGGCCACCTGCATTTCTTGGATCATAGCCCCCTTCCATCTTCTTTTTTTTTAAAATGGCTACACCACACAGCTTGCAGGATTGACCAGGGAAACCCACACCCTGGGCAGTGAAAGTGCTGAGAGCTTTTTGAAAATGTGTTTTAATCCAAGACCTGAAGAGAAAATCAGCCATGTAGAGGTCCAGGACAGGATTCCTGATAGAGATCTAAGATGGAAAGATGGAAAAGACCTAGATTTATTCTATGTGCTCAAAGGAGGACTGTGGTTTGTTACCTAGGGTGGAAAGGGGAGAGTACTCAATTTGAAGATGCATTGTCCTTGATGGAGATAGAGCAACAGAATGACTACAAAGACAAGCAGGGACCTGCTTTGCCAAAAACCTGTGAACCGTGGCATTGAATTTGAAATTTATTCTAAGTGCAGTGGGGAGGCTATGAAAAAGTTTAAGCAGAGATTTTCATTTGATTGGTACTAGCATCACATGGTGGAAGGTGTTAAATATATAGATGCCTTATTTGTATGAAATGCCCTGAAAAGGCAAATCCATAGAGAATTAGTGTTGCTCTGCCATTAGTGATTGCCAGGGGCTGGAGGGACTGCAAAACGGGGAGTGGCTGCTTAATGGGCACAGGGTTTCTTTCTTTTTATTGAAATACAGTTGATTTACATGTTTTGATAGTTTCTCCTGTATGGTAAAGTGATTCTGTTATATATATGTCTGTGTGTATGTATATGTATATTCTTTTTCATATTCTTTTCCATTATGATTTATTACAGGAAATTGAATATAGTGCTATACAGTAGGACCTTGTTCTTTATCCATCTTGTATATAATAGTTTGCATCTGCTAGTCCCAAACTCCCAGCTCGACCCTCCCCCGCTCCCCCTCCTTCTCAGCAACCACAAGTCTGTTCTCTGTGTCTGTGAGTCTGTGGCACAGCGTTTTTATTTGGAGTGATGAGAGTGCTCTGGAGCTAGGTAGTGACAGTGATTGCCTGACACTGGACATGTACTCTACACCACTGAATTGTACACTTTAAAATGATTAAATGAGAAATTTCACATTATGTGAATCTTAACTTTGTATTTCGAGAAGTATGTACACACATGTCTTGTGCCTACACCTGAAGATTTTGATTCAGTGTGGGGTGGTTCTTGAAGAACATTTCTTTTGTTACAAGGCTTTCTGGATGATTCTGTCGCCTGGCAGAACTAAGAACCACTGGTTTAACTTGTTTTCTTGTTCCTTTCTGGCACCATGTGAGGTCTCATCATATCTGTGCCTTCCTGTGCTTTTTAGACATTGCACAGCAATATTTGAGGCTTACACAAGCAGTTCACCAGTTATGGTGATTATTTTCATTTTGTCTCTCTCATCTACTGGAGAATTTTCAGATTTCTCTTAGAGGGAGAGAACAAGTTGTATTTACTTTTTGTCATTTTGCAGACTTGGAGTCAAGGTGTAAGACATTTCTGCAGAAAGACACCTTTGAAGTCGTGTCATTCAATTGGGAGCTAATGGAAAGCCTTCAGTGCTATGATGAAGACTGGGCATACAAAGGCCAGTTTGAAAAACAACAAATAAATCATGAGTGCTGTTTTAAGCAAGTGAAGATCACCTATGGAAACATGCCCACTTTTGAGTGTGGGCATACATCACTCACCCTACATCCCAGCAGTGAAACTGGTGAGAAATCGATTGAATGTAATGAATGTAGGAAAGCATTCAGCCACGGCTCACACCTTATTCAACATCAGAAAACTCATACTGGTGAAAAGCCCTTTGAATGTAAGGAATGTGGGAAGGCCTTCAGTCGTGCCTCACACCTTGTTCAACATCAGAGAATTCATACAGGTGAGAAACCTTATGACTGCAAGGAGTGTGGGAAGGCCTTCGGTCGAACTTCAGAACTCATTCTCCATCAGAGACTTCATACAGGTGTCAAACCTTATGAATGTAAAGAATGTGGAAAGACCTTTCGACAGCATTCACAGCTTATTCTGCATCACAGGACTCATACAGGTGAGAAACCCTACGTCTGTAAAGACTGTGGCAAGGCTTTTATTCGTGGCTCACAACTTACTGTTCATCGGCGAATTCATACAGGTGCTAGACCCTATCAGTGTAAAGAATGTGGGAAGGCCTTTAGACAGCATTCACAACTTACCGTACATCAGAGAATTCACACTGGGGAGAAACCCTATGAATGTAAGGAATGTGGCAAGGGCTTTATTCATAGCTCAGAAGTTACTCGACATCAAAGAATTCATTCTGGGGAGAAACCCTATGAATGTAAAGAATGCGGGAAGGCCTTTAGACAGCATGCACAGCTTACACGACATCAGAGAGTTCATACAGGTGACAGACCCTATGAGTGTAAGGACTGTGGAAAAGCCTTCAGTCGTAGTTCATACCTTATTCAACATCAAAGAATTCATACAGGTGACAAGCCCTATGAATGCAAGGAATGTGGGAAAGCCTTTATTCGTGTTTCACAACTGACTCATCACCAGCGAATTCATACTTGTGAGAAACCCTATCAATGTAGGGAATGTGGAATGGCCTTCATTCGTAGTTCACAACTTACTGAACATCAAAGAATTCATCCTGGTATCAAACCTTATGAATGTAGAGAATGTGGGCAGGCCTTTATTCTTGGCTCACAGCTCATCGAACACTACAGAATTCATACTGGCTAGAAAGCCTTGGTGTTAGGGATGTAGGAAAGCCTTTATGTGGAATTCATGCCTCGATCAGTAGTAAATAATGCATAATGTAATGTAATTATTGTCAGAGAACCTTCATTTGTCACTTCCATTATGGAACATCAGGTAACTCATACCAGAAGAAAATTCAATAAATGTGGGAATTCTTGTTGCCTCATACTCACTGTTTACTAAGGGAATCAGGGAGCTTATACTGAAAAAAAATTTAATATGAATATAGAAAAGCCTCATATTACCACTCAAAATATATTAAACTATGAGAATTCCTAATAAAAAATGACCCTATTAAAATATTTTATGGCTGTGCCTTTTGCCATTTACCTTATTTAATTAACATTATCTCACTTCCACCAATTATTGACTATACAACATTGCACAAATTATGCAGTGTCTGAGTTCCTCAGTTTACTTATTTTTTTTTTTCACAACACTTTTTTTTTTTTTTAGTTATTTTTAAGCAGTGATAATTATGTGTATCTAATAGAGTTTTTGTGAGGACTGTCAGAAATTTTACATAAGCCCATGCTCAATAAATACTAGTTATTGTCATTAATTAATAACAGTATTACTGTTAAGGACATAAGTCCTAGGGTGGCTCAGATGGTAAAGAATCTGTCTGCAATGCCGGAGACCCGCGTTCGATCCCCGCCTCAGGAAGATCCCCTGGAGAAGGAAATGGCAGCCCACTCTAGTATTCTTGCCTGGAGAATCCCATGGGCAGAGGAGCCTGGTGGGCTACAGTCCATTGGATCTTAAAGAGTCGGACACGACTGAGAGACTAAGCATACATACATATTACTGTTAAGGAGTTAGGAGTTCATGTAAGAGGTGGGCCTTATGAATATATCAAATGTGAAAAAACCTTCAAAACTACCTCTTCTGAAAAACAGTAGCAAAGTAATTATCATGAGAAGATGTTCATTGAAAGGGTTGTAAAATTTCAAGATTAGAAATGGAACAGAAGAGTAGTCAAAAAAAATCTGCCCAACTAAGGAATCTAAAACCACCTCCAAGTATAACTTCAAGAGAATCAAAACTAAGATTACAAACTAGAAGTGAATGGCAGTGAATTCTGCATATCAAAACCAGTTCATGGGACTTCCTTGGTGATCCAGTGGTTAAGAACATGTACTTGCACTGCAGGAGGTTTGATCCTGCATGCCACCTGATATGGTCAATAAATAAACAGTTCAGTGTAACCAAAGCTGTACTTCTATCAGAACCCAAGGTATAAAAGTAGATTAAAGGATCCAAGTAAATCTCCAGCATCTATTCCTTGCCAATCCCATACTAAACACATTAAGTGAATGGTCAATTCAAAGGGGAAATTATCACATCAACCCAAGTTAACAGTAAGAATGATTATTAAAAATAAAAGAACAAGCCAATAAAATCAGAAACAACAGTAGACCTAAACTGAAAGTTAACAGCAGACCTCCCCTGGTGGTCCAGTGGTAAAGAATCCACCTGCCAGTGTAGGGAACATGGGTTTGGTCCCTGATCCAGGAAGATTCTTCATGCCCCAAGGCAACTAAGCCAGTGTGCCACAACTACTGAGCAGCCCACGCACCACAACTAGAGAAAGCCCATGGGCAACAATGAAGACCCAGCACAGCCAAAAATAAAAAAATACACAAAATTGTTAAAAAAATTTTAATACACATTGAGAATGCTGATGTAGGAAAAAAAAGACATTTAGCAGTATGAAGGAGGAGGGGGTACTTTTTAAAAATAGCTACTATGCATGACTAATTATTTAGAAATCTAGAAAGAATGGATTTTTGTAAAAATATAAAAATTGATTTAAGAAAATATGGGATTTCTGAACAATCAGTGATTGTGAAAGAACATAAAAAGTCATCCAAGCTCTGTCTCTTTAGAGAAAACAGTTTAACCTACAAAACCTTAAAGAACAAATAATCCCTGAGAGAAGCTTGCCAGTTCATCATCAAGGCTAAATAAAATTATGATTAAAGAAACTCAACAAGGATAGCTCCTGAAGAACAAACTGTAGGTAATTATCATTTGTGAAGATAAATAGAATTCCAGTTAATTTGATCCAGTTTATCAGCATTAATTTTAGATGGAATGTCTGGAATTGTACCCATTTCTGGATTAAATACTCAGTTCAGTTCAGTCACTCAGTCATGTCCAACTCTTTACGACTCCATGAATGGCACGCCAGGCCTCCCTGTCCATCACCAACTCCCGGAGTCCACCCAAACCCATGTTCACTGAGTCGGTGATTCCATCCAACCATTTCATCCTCTGTCGTCCCCTTCTCCTCCTGGCCTCAATCTTTCCCAGCATCACGGTCTTTTCAAATGAGTCAGCTCTTCACATCAGGTGGCCAAAGTATTGGAGTTTCAGCTTCAACATCAGTCCTTCCAATGAACACCCAGGACTGATCTCCTTTAGGATGGACTGGTTGGATCTCCTTGCAGTCCAAGAGACTCTCAAGAGTCTTCACCAGCACCACAGTTCAAAAGCATCAATTCTTTGGTGCTCAGCTTTCTTTAAATATTAGAATTTTGATATAATAACTCCAGGATATGATGGTGATGGGGAAAAAGACCTTGATCCAACTCCAGGGACATCCAGGTCAGGGCCTATGAATGAATCTGAGAATCTTAGAAAACACATTCCCTCAGCCCTCGTGGTAGCCTAGGGCAGAATACCCATTGCACCCAGTGTCTGGGGCAGAATGTTCATTGCACCCTAATGCCATCCATCTTCTCAGTCATCCTGAGTATTCAGTCAAAACACCTGCATTTTCTACGTATACCATTGCCTACAAAGGGTTTAGAAAGCAGTGTGCTGTATGTCATTTTTCTTTAAGTGGCTTAATGATTAGGCTGTACAGTTGGAAGGGCTCAAAGCTATGACATTAAAAATTATCTCTCATGGGACTTCCCTGATGGGTTGGGCCTTCCCTCATAGACCGTTGGTAAAGAATCCCCCTGCAGTGCAGGAAACCCCAGTTTGATCCCTGGGTCAGGAAGATCTGCTGGAGAAGGGATAGGCTGCCCACTCCAGTATTCTTGGGCTTCCCTTGTGGCTCAGCTGGTAAAGAATCTGCCAGCAATGTGGGAGACCTGGGTTCGATCCCTGGGTTGGGAAGACCCCCTGGAGAAGGGAAAGGCTACCCACTCCAGTATTCTGGCCTGGAGAATTCCATGGACTATACAGTCTATGGGGTCACAAAGAGTCGGACATGACTGAGCAACTTTCAGTGGTTAAGACTCTGCTTCCATTGCAGGGGGCACAGGTACCATCCTTGGTCAGGAAACTAAGACCCTGCTTGCCAAGGGACACAGCCACAAAAAAGAAAAATAACTCTGAATAGTTTAAACGCAGGCAGAGGATAAAAAATTTTCAAGTTAAATTTTGTATCCACGTAAGTGAATCTTCATACATTCTTCTCGCCCTGTCCCCCTTCATGTAGCAATCACTGCTATCAAGTTCATGCATATACTTCCTGATTTCTCTGTTTGCTTAAGTGTAAACATACACATAACACTCTTTATAAAACTGTTTTACATACATGGTAGCAAATTTCCGTACATTTCTATGAATAGTTTTGCTTAGCCATATACCTTAAAGATTGGGCCACATCAATACATAGTGGCCTTATTCTTTCGTAACAACTGCATAGTATTCCATATGTGTTTCATAATTTCTTTAACTTCATCAATTTAGTTTTTATTAATTTTGCTCTTTCCAACAATCCAATAATATCCTTGCACCTACATTATTTTATATATGTGTAATATATCCTTAAGATGAATTTCTAAAAGTGGAAATGTTAGATCAAAATGTATATAGTTTTTAAAAGCTTTCTATCCTTACAGACTCTTACAATGTACCCAGTGCTCCCATGACCAACTTCAGTAATTATCATTTTATGGCCAGGCTTGTTTTATCTGTATTTCCACCAACTCCTCCAACTCCATGTTGTTTTTGAAATGAAACCGAGATATATCATTTCAACTATAAAAATTTTAATATGTATCTCTAATAAAATATATCACAATTTTACAAAAGATTTTCACACCTTAAAAAAATTGAGAGTACTGCCTTAATGCTATTACATATCTGATAGGCAGTGTTCCTTTCTGATTGTTTCATGAATGTCTGTTTCATGAATGTCTGTTTCATGAATGTCAATTTTTTTAAAGTTAATCAGGATCCAAATAATGTCCAAAAATTGTTGTTGATTGTTGTTTTTTAAGCCTCAGTCTATGCGTTCTCCTTTATCCTTGTTTTTGCCTCCAGCAATTTAATTTTTGAAAAAGCTATTTTGTTTGCCTTAAAGTTTCTTAGACCTTGGTTTTTGCTGGCAGATCCCAGTGGTCAGTTTAACCTGCTTCTCTATCCTTGGTATTTCCTATAAGTTGGTACTTGATATCAAGGATACATTGAGGTTCAATTTTTGTTAAGATTTCTTATAAGTGGTTAATATTGAGAGGCATAATATTTAGGTGTCTTTTTATGATGTAGCAGCCATTGATGTTCAATTGGTAAATCTGTTAATAGGGACTACAAAATGATATATTATTCCTTTTCCCTTTTTTAGCTAGAATACTTTTATAAAGAAAAACGTCCCTTAAACTGCTGTTTGGTTACCCATGTAAAGAAAGACAAGTTTCCAAAATAATGAGCTGGTTCTCTAGCCAACTGCCATGGTAACCAGTGAGTTTAGGGTGGTGTGTATGTGAAACATATTCAGTACATTTAAATCTATGTAAGCTATACTCTCATTAATGCTCAGATTGTCCCCTGTGTGGTTTGACACAGGAGTGTCAAAAAGGACACTTGTCTTTGATCACTGGCCTGGTGTCTGCCACAGTAGGATGTCCCAGGCTCGTCTTTTTCATTTCCCTAGTTCCCACCTTGATGTAGCCATTTTCTAAGGAGTCCTTTTTCTTTCTGGTAATTTGGTACTTTCCAAAATGGTATTTAGAAACCACAGTCACTAGTTGTACGTCATTCTGCTGTTTGGACTTTTTTTTTTTATAAATACACATTTTAGGCCATTTTGTATAAATCACTCAAGTGCCTTCAGGAAGATTATGCATCTGTGCATCTGCCCACTTTATAGGAGATCCCAAAGCACCACATGAATTCATCTAATATTTATTGAATGTTCACCATTGGCTGGATGAAAAATGGAAAAGTCCCTTTTGTTTTTTCTTTCATTCCTTTGATTATGATGAATAGAGATGACCATTGTTCACATAGTTGTTGACCACTGGTTTTGCTTTCAGCATGGTGCCTAAAATATAGTAGGTGC